AACATCTTGAGATAGGAAGATTATCCTGGATTATCCAGGTGGGTGCAATGTCATCCCAAGGCAGAGGCAGAAGTGTCAAAGTCAGAGAGAGGAGATGTGAGGACAGGAGCTCATAGGATGGAATCAGAAACGGGAGTGATGCGATTGCTAGCTTTGAAGGTCATAGGAGCCACAAGCTAAGGGATGTGGGCCGCCTCTAGAAGCTGGAAAAGGCAAGGACACTGGTTCTCTCCTGGAGCCCCCAGGAGGAATGTAGCCCTGCCTACCCATTTAGAGTAAGATAATAAATGTATATTGTTTTAAGCCACTAAGTTTTTGGTTATTTGTTACAACAGCAGTAGGAAATTAATATAAGGTTTAAGATTGTTGGTCTTGAGAGACAATGTCTACAATGAAGTAGACAATACAGACTCATTTCAGTATATTACGGTAAGAGAATGAAGAAGAAAAAGGTGCTTCAGAAAAAATGGTCTGCAGCAGAGAATGGACAAGACAACAAGGATCTGAAGTAATTAAAGCAGCTGGCCGGTTAGCTCAGCTGGTTAGTGTTTGCCTCATAACACTAAGGTCAAGGATTCAGTTGGCCAGTTGCCTGGGGAAAAAAATTTTTTTTTGGCTGGCTGGTTAGTTCAGTTGGTGTTGTTAGGTCAGCATGGTGTTGTAACACCAAGGTCAAGGGTTTGGATCCCCATACTGGCCAGCTGTCAAGAAAAAAACAATAATTGAAGCAAAACTAACATAAAATAGTAAGACTCTGGACTGTGCCAGTAGGAGTAGAAAATGAAAAATTAAGTGGTCTATATTACAGAAATTTAAAAGAATGAATCAACAGGACTTAGTGACATTCTGGATAAAGTAAGGTAAGAGAAAGGTAGGAATAACCTTCAAGGTTTAAAACCTTGGGATGCATGGTTCTAGTATAACATGGAGATCACTGGGCTCCATACAAAGATTCTAGTCCAGTATATCAGGGGTGGTGCCCAGAAGTCTGCATTTAGGTGATCCAAAGTTCACACTCTATAAAATAACAATCTAGAAATACCAAAAGAAAATGGAATCAAATACACACCATAGCTCTGGAAGAAATGACTAATCTTAGATAAAGTCTGATAGGGTAAAAATTGACATTAGACAACATAAAAATTTTAAACGTTTATGAAATAAAATAAATATCATAAACATCCCACCCACCAATGCCCCCTCCCCCCCACACACACACAAAAGGCCGCTGGTGAAAAATACTTTCATTAAATGCATAATATTTTATTAACAGTCCACACAAACTAGTAAGTAAAAACAACCAAGGCCTCAGCAAGTGAATGAGAAAGCACGTAAACAGACAACTCAAAAAAGAGGAACAACAACTCTAAAAGAAACTTAAGAAATACCAATTAAGGGCCGAGCCCGTGGTGCACTCGGGAGGGTGCAGCGCTGGGAGCGCAGCAGCGCTCCCGCCGCAGGTTCGGATCCTATATAGGGATGACCGGTGCGCTCACAGCGCTCACTGGCTGAGCGCGGTGCTGCCGGTCTCAAAAAGGACAAAAAAAAAAAAAGAAATACCAATTAAAACAACAAGGCAATATATACACTTGCTCAATAAACAAATATAATTTTGGAGGGTAACATTCAAAGCTGATGAGATGCTGAGGGCCTTACACTTTCACACATGCTGGTTGCGTCATTAATCTCCTATAATCATTTAGGAAAGTAATTTGGCAGTATACATCAGAAGTATAAAGATAGCCATACCGTTCGACAGAGGAATGCTTCTTTTTGTAATCTAACTTAAGGAAACAGTCTTGAATATGGGAGAAACAATTATATGTAATGAAGGCTATCAATTCTTGGAAGTTCATCACTTGATGCACATGGCCTCATTTAGTCTATAAAACAATCCTATGAAGTTAGCACTCTATTCTCACACTACAAAAGAGGTATCTGAGCCACAGAAAGTTCATGTAACTTGCTCCAAGAACTTAGAGCTAGGAAGAGAAGCAGGCGCAGGAACATTCTGCTTCCAGAGCCCATACACTTAACTTCTACACCACAGTTACCACAATGTGGGAACATAGTTAGCACAGCTGTATTTGTTTTATTAAAAAATGCAAGAAAATAAATGAAAGGAAAATAGCATTTGTATTAGGATAGTGGAAATATGTGTGAGTAACAATGGGTTATTTCCCCTGCCCTCAAACATTCTGCAACAGTTAGCTTTATAATCTAAAAGCAACTTGAGGGGAGGAAAATAATGCATACATAGAAAAAAATTCTTGAATTTTCCAAAAAAAGAAAGAAATCATAAGAAAAGTATAAACAATTAAAATATTGTTTTCACATTTTAATATTACCAATTACAAAAGTTTGGGAGAACTAATAATCTTTAAGAATTTTCTTCAGACCAGCAGATAAATTATCAAATAGGTACTTGTTTGAGTTTCTGCCCCCAAATCGGCATGACAATCAGCCAGGAGGCGTTTTCGTGTGTCTGCTACATGAAGAGGAGCTACACGTCTATTATCCTCAAGGTGCTAACACTTGCTAATGGCTCATATATTATTTTAGAGTCAACTTGGGGACACCGGCTAAACACTTTTAGCAAGTGACAGATATAATGTAAAATGTAAGAAAAATCAGAACAGGTAACAGTAAATTGCATGCACCGCAGAAAGAGCTGAATATTTAAAGAAAATTAAATGATAATAAACTTAACTACATTTAAAGGGAAAATATTTTATGTAAAAATATAACATTCAAAGCATGTCACAAAATTCAAACATGGAAATTGAGGGTACCAAAATCATAATAAAAGGATAAGGCTTCACAATGGGGCAGCAGTAATTAGTAAAGATGGGTATTCTGATTTTTTTTTTTTTTTTACCAATTTTTATCCTTCTCAGCACACAATTTTAAAGTCAAGATCTCAGATTTGTTTATTTTTACACCCTACCATTACTTGTATTTAATTGCCTTTTACAGTTACCATTTTTGCCAAATCGAATACAATCACAATTGGGCAAGTAAAAGAGACTTCTAGCAGCTGCTATCCCCTCTATAATATATAAGATTAGATAGTGTATCCCAACTAAAACTCTGCCTCACAAAGCTATTTTCATCTCTGTGTCCCTGTAAGGAGGTCTCAAATAACAGTTTAACAAGGCTACTAAAAATATGCAAAATTTGAGAGATTTGAGAATTTCTACTCTATTATCTCTGGTAGACTTCATTATATAATTATAAAACTGGCTAAAATTATTAATAGAACTGCTGAAATTGAGAGAAGAGCAACTCCTAGAAAACCTAGGATTTTTTTTCCAACTGTGAATATCTAAGAACTGCCTATATCACTGGGGAGAGGGTCCTTTTCTGCAGAAGAAAATAAATCGTGTGAGAGAAAACACGGCGAACAAACCTCCACTCAAGAAGCACGAACAACCTCTTGCTCAGGGTGGGCCTAATTGGCAGTCACCCAGCTATGTCTCACGTGGACTTGGTCCCCGAGTATCTGGAGAGGACAGCTGGGCTGTGTCAGGGTCAGGGAGTGCTGGGTGCTGACCTGAGAGGTTAGGAAGGGGCCTGCATATGACAGGCTGCCTAGTCCAGACTAGTCGGTCAGCAGAGGCTCAGGGGGAAGGAGGGGAGTTCTGGTTTTAATTCACCACCACAGGAACTTACTTCATCACATACCCAGCAAAAACCTCTCGAGAACCTGTTTCCTCCAAAGCCAAGCAAACAAAAACAGAATTCCATGAGAAGGAAGTGAGACTGAGATTCTGCTGGCAACACCTGGTCTGAATCTGCACTCACCTGTATTGTTTCTTTCAGAAGTCAGCCTGGATTTAACAAAATTCTGATGGGAAATTAAATGTGAGTTATCCCTTGCCATCCTGACAGAGAAGTGCACAGATAACTTAGAGCTCCACTTTAGAAGAAAACACAGGGAAACAGTCTCACTAATCTCTCAGTAATATTCCATTAAAGTTCATACTCTATTCTCCTAACTAAAAAATGGGGGAAAACTTAATTAAAAAAAAAAAGTTAAGGAACTTTTAATATGGAGTTGACATACTATCACATCATTTACACTCTGGCATTGCTCAGAAAATTTAAGAGGTCTCTAACGAAATTAAAAGAAAAGACTCTCGCAACATACTTAACATAGTATCTAACCATCTAACTTCTCACCTAACAAAGTGAAGAAACTGAATTATGTCATACATTGTATATATATTTCATATACACATGTCATGTATGTGTGTGCATGTATACACACATGTACATATATATTTCATATATATGAAAGGAAAAATTGCACTGACTCATACATGGTAATTTTGCTGGGCATTTTCATGAGCTATTTCTAGTTATTAAGATAATTTCAGCACCCCAATAATAATTTATAACCTGTGAAAAATTAAATGTGAATAGAAAATAAAAATGTATTCACTATTCTATTCTTTATTGACTATTTCTCCCCAAAACTCAACTATTCCTCTTGCATTTCTGCTTCCTTTACCTAAAACATTTAATGAAATGGCCCCTAGAGCTGAAATATCAGTCTTAGAAAATGGACCTTTACATTTCAAAAGAAGGCTATGCACCTCCATTTACACATGTTCCCTAGTCCTTGAAAACATGTATACATGTGTATTATCTTTTCCAGGTACGTGTAAATATAAGTTGAGTTGATCATTTGTGCTTTTTTTTCCCTTTTTGTAAAAAACATTAAGTATATTTCATGGATAAAATATTATCTCAGTCTTAAATTTTTTCTGAACCTATAACATTCAATGCAGTGTACTGCAAATAGCTTGCAGCCTCAGATTTTTATATGTAAATGACCTTAACAGAAAACCCACCTACTACTTTAAAAGGAAATTTACTTCATGATAAAAGAAATTGTATGTACAGAAGAAATATTAATGCTCTTAGAACCATAGAAAGGAGACTTAATGCTATACCATCTGCTATATAGAGAAAAGGGGGAAAAAAAACAAAGTTACCTTTTTGTGCAAGGCATGAAATTCGCTGTACCTTTTTTCAACAAAATGTTTTCTTCCATTCATTAGCACTTCTATCTTAAACACCTAAGGAAAAAATTAAAAAGATTAATTCTACTAGTTCAAAACCCTCAACTGTCTGATGTGGTAAGTTGTGACCAAGATATATTTCATCCCTTTGATTACAGTAGCTGATCTCCCAAAACCCAGAAGGCTCAGGAGACCCTGGCCCAACAGCACTGATTAATGAGCCCACTACTAACAAACTACAGCATTCGCCAAAAACATGTCTAAAAACAAGGGAAACTTAAATGTGTTACAATGCTACTTAATTTTTTAATCAGAGGATATTTCTTGCCCCAAATGATTTCACCAAATGAATATGATGGTATTGAAATAAATGTGTGAAGCAGCAGCAATGCCTGGGTAAAAATCTCAGACACGCAGCACTCCGTTATGGGTATTTCAATGAAGGCAGCATTGTGTCATCTATAAGACAATCATGGAAACAGTAGTGCATTTTAGGTTAATTTCTTCCTAACCTGCATATTCATCTCTAGTCTCAGCTGGGCTTATTCTGCTGTTTGCAAAACAGGGAAAATGCAGTAAAGGCTCATTTTCCCTGCATGATGTGAGTGACAGCTTATGCTTCTACCTCCAGAAGGTTGAAAGGCCAGATGAAAAGGCTCTCTGGGTGCACTAATTAGTAGGCACTAACATGACATTTTTTGATTCTTGGGTCAGTGGGTCAAGACTGGGAACAAGGGATGAGAAATACTGTGAAATGCTTATGAAAATACAATGTTAAAGAGAAGGTGCTCTGTTAATCCAAGAGTTTGTATTTGGGTCTCGTTTTGCAAAGTGAGAGTTTGTAAACACCAAGATGAAGGAATATTGTACAATTACTTAGTAATCTTAGTTTTCTGTTTCAATTGCCCTTCTGAAAAAAAACAAAACTAAGCTGTAGTTGAAGTCACATGACACTAAAGAGTGTTAAAAGCATGTTTACCTTGAGCCCCCAAATACAAACTACTTAAATTTAGCATATGAGCTACAAGGTCACACATTTTCATTATGAAAATACATCTTGGAAAGGAAGTTGGTTAATCAAGATTTCCATGACAAAGTGAAGCAAGAAATGGAGTCAATTTAATAAACCCTATTTTCCTGAATACCACACCAGACATTTTTTTTTTTAAGTCTTCCCAATTTTCTGACATTATTTGTCCCTGATACCTGGAAAACCCTTTTCTTGTTTTGCTTTCCTGGCAAGCTCTAGCAGTTATTATCTATCTCATAAGGTGGTGGCATCACAGGACAGAGTTTGGAAAGCACTCAGCACAGTATCTACATTCGTTTATTTGTTTATTCAACAGATATTCACTGAGGGCCTACAATGTGCCCAAGGGTTGTTCTAGGCTCTGAGATTCAGTAGTGAACAAAACAGCCTAGGCTTCATAGAGCTTACACCCTATCCAGTGAGGGAGGCTGACTATACTAATGAACAAATATAGTGAACAAATACTGTGAATAACAATGCTCTGAAAACAACACAGCAGCGTGAGGAGACCAAGCTGGACGAGGGTGCTCTTTTGAGAGTGATCACAGAAGGCCTCCCTGAGCAGGCAGGTGGCAAGAGATACAGAACCTGGAGGTGGATACCAGGAACAAGGGTATATACAAGGCTTGAGTGTGGCTGCCTCTGGAATTTCAGACTAGCAGCAGGTGGACAAGGGCTGTTTTCACTCCTATTTTTTTAAAAAAAATCTTTTTTAAAAGTTAAAGCATAAGGCACTTCTGGCCAAGATGGAGTAAGAGGGAGCAGATTTACCCTCCCATGTGAAACAACTGGACAAAATAAATAACTGCACGAAATATGTGAGAAAAAATGACTCTCAAGACAGTGGACACCAGGAAATGAAGGACAGTGAGACAAACAAGGCCAGCCCTACAATGACCTCGGCATACTGCCTGGAGAAACTTTCCAGGCCTCAGCTCAGGGAAGGAGACCCCAGCCAGGCAGAGCCCTGCAGTCCCCTGAGTTAAGGAAGGGGAGTGGGAATAAGGGATGCCAACCTGGTTAGAGTTCTCAGGACAGGGTGCTGGAAAGGAGTGAGATGCACACTGGGGAACTCCTGCAAGCTGCAAGAGTATTCAGGGTGAGTACTGACCAGCTCATGGGATTGGGGAAAATACCCAAGGATAGGGAAAAGATTAGCGAGAACAGTGCTCAGAGCTCATATACAACTGGCAATCATGCCTGTTCCCAAAAGCCAGTGGAGAAAACATATATAATTCATGAAGCATTAGTTAGAATACACAGAAGGGTCTTGACTCAGTAATGGGGCAAAATTAACTGTAAAGTAAAAACTGTTTTTAGTCCAGTTTAACAAAAGTTAAAAGCAAGACCCAAAGAGATCAAACTGTTTCCAAGTAACTTAACCACATGCCAGAACAAACCTGAAAATATTTTTAGGAACATAAAAATATCCAGAACCTAAGAAAATAAAATTCACAAAGTATGGCATCCAAGTCAAAAAGAAGCAGGAAAATACAACTCATAATGAGGAAAAATAAACAATCAATTGAAACTGATTCAGAAGTTACATACAATAAAATTAGTAGACAAAAGCATTAAAATTGTTATTATGATGGAATTTCTTATATTCAAGAACCCAGAAGAACAGTTGACCATGTTCAGTGGAGGCATGGAAGATATAAAAAAGGCCCCCAAAAAAGATCTGGGTCCTACTGATGAAATCAATGTCTGTGATGAAAAATATACTGGATGAGATTAATAGCAGATTAGACTTTGCACAAGAAAAGATTAGTGATGAAGACCAGCAATAGAAACTATACAAATTGAAACAAAGAGAGGGGAAAAAAAAAAAAAAAAAAAAACCCTAAAAA